GGTGAAATCATTGTATCGGCCAAGTATTTCAACTATTGAGCAATGCAGACATATTTTTGAAAGACTCATTTATAGCTCGTTTTAAAGCTCATGAAGTTTTCCATCGAATGATATATAAAGTGGAGTGCTTAACGGGAAGATTAGTCACTATTGTAGAGATGAACGACGTTGATCTAGCGGTTTTCTGGGATTCTATCGAGTATTTTGGATCTTAAAGTACCCGGTTACATTTTTTAAGACTATCTTATATATCATTCTGTAGCCCGTGAAATTTTCTATCGAATGATGTATAAAATCGAATAGTTAACTAGAAAATTAGTCAACGTTATAAATATGAATGACGTTGACCTACCGATTTACTGAGATGCCACAGATTATTTCGGATCTTACACTGCCCAGTTCCAGTATCTTAAGACTATCTCATATATCATTTCGTAGCTCATGAAATTCTCTATCGAACGGTGAATAACAGTTGATATTAGCTCTGGGTGAAACAGGTTGAATAATGTAAATACTTTGAGAAAACGTCGGTTGACGCGAGAAGAGTTTTTCTTGCTAAAAGGTGTCGAGGAGAGCTGAGAAGGATTTTTAAGATTTAAAAATATGCTAGCGTTAATCGTGAACAAAAGCTGCATCAAGTGAGTTAACGTAAGACTGCTTTGAGGGTGGGCTGATTTTGCGTCTTATCGTCCCCCGTCCTTTTTCTTCCTTGCTGAGAAAATGAGGCTTCTTTGTCGATATACCACAAACGACCAAGGAATCTTTTCCTATCCCCTACAAATTTTGAGTAAAATCGCTCAAATTCACGGAGAATGGGTAAAAAATGACGCTGAATCTAATGCAAGTCATTTTAGGGACTTCTAGACAATGTTTCAAGGATTTCTGGAGAAACGACACAGAAAAACGCACTTGATCACTATGCCATCTTTATATTCTACAGGGAGGAGGCTTTCTGTTGGTTAACTTACTTATTTCGCAGAGTAATCCAGTATAATTGGGTAAACAAATACATCCACCATGCGTGCTTTCAGCATGATCTTCTCTTCTCCATCCTTTACTTATCGCATTATTCCAACATATTCCATCATTGTGACATTCACACAGCTTCTCGTCTAAAAATAAATATATCATTGATCATTTTTGATGCTAGAATGATGGCACCAGAATCAGACTTTTGATTTTCACCCACTCAAGTTTGATTGCATACTGCTTTTACTACTCAACGCCGCAAACATCAATAACAAGTGACGCATGATCTTAACAAGAAAATATTTTGATTTGATCGCGTTTTTTATTTTTTTACTTCATCACATCTTTGTCCTACGCGATTATTTTATGATTGATAATAATCGTTCGTTAATAGAATCATTGATGGACTTTTAATACTTTTTCATACATTACATTCACAAATAAAATGACGAGAATCTATTTAATGAAACCGAAGTTTGTAATAGTGCAATATAATAAAACTGAAAAAGAAACGATCTTCTGCAAAAAAAACTCATCTGTCATTTGTAAGACGTACATAGCATTGATTTCAATATTTGATGCACCCTTAATTGTATTAACGTATTTGATTGAATTCTTTATCTGTTTTTTATTATTAGTTGCCAATGTTCTTTTCAATAATGATACAATCTGTTTGTTGCTTTCTTCTTTGAATTACAATCGCAAAATATTCAGCCCTTATAGTAAATACTCCTGTTTGTTGAATTTGAGTGAAAGTTGAAGTAGTCCATCCTGTAGAGAATTTAGTTCTCTATAAAACGAGCTACTTCATATTAAAATAGGAAGTGCGCCAAGTGTTCAAAATTGCTTAGAAAGAGTACCACTAAAATTAACCTTGGACAAAGTTTTGTTGGGAACATTGTTTTTAATGTAGTAATAGTTAGTTAAAAAATAAATTCGCCTTGGTGGATATCACAATAACCCATGCTTTATTTTTTTGAATAGAGGATATATGTTTTTGGGCACATTTTTCCGCTTTGTTGGTGATAAAGGCCTAGTCGGTCCACTAGAGCCATAAACTTGAGCTTGAAGTTTTCGTCTTGGACGTATTTTGCTTATTCCTTGTTCGTCTTTATATTCTTCGTCGCACTCGTCTCCTTTGATTCTTTTCTGTCGATTGAATTTCAGTCAGGAAAATCTCCTGCTAAAACAGAATATGAAATTTGAAGATCGAACCGAGTCAGACTCATGAGACTCAAATCCGAACTACAACGAACGATTTTTCGTTGACTCGAATAAACGCTAAAAAGAACTTCCGATCCACTTATCTCGAAGTAAGTTCAAGGTTTTGCTTGAAAACAGCATGGCAATCACGAAACTTTTTCTACGGATCGATAAAATCCGAAACCTTTTTTTCTTTGACCAAAATACAACCCGTTTTGATTCGGTCTTAAACCCCTTGTGGACGGGAAACACATATATTTTTTGATTCTGATCAGCACGTAATCGACGTGGACATGTCTCTTATGCTACTGTAATGGCATAAATGCTAGTGGAGGTCATAGATTTGCCATTTACAATGTATTATAATACTCACCCCAATATATGGGGAATGAAAAGGGCGCAAAATAGGTGAAATAGCGAGATTAGAGGTGAGTGTGTAATCTTTCTGACAAAAGTTTCATCTATGTTTTTCGAACCATAGGTTTCCATGATTATTTTTTCATGATTATGATGTACATTCAATGCAAATACTATAGTACAAAGAGCGACTCTTAGTTCATCACCTTCTCTTCTACATATGATTCAATCGTAGGTGATCGTCGTCAGTGAATTTCCAGAACCACCCAGTAGTTAACCTTCAGACTTTGACTGAATAGTCTACAGACACTGTAGAACATTTGGTGCGAATTTGAAGTCAAAATGATGTTTCTAGATGGAATAATGAATTTTTTTCGGAAAGAACCTCAAATTTTCAACAAAAATCATCCGTACGTTCATTCGTAAAATAGTTGTATTTCACTGACCCCTGTCAATCATCTCATGAAATTTATATCGTAGATAGAGTAGAGTCGTAACTGCATTTTTATACAAAGAAAACATTTTCATCCCTCTTAGGTCAGGAGCTATTGATATTTTACGGAAAAGAAATAAATCGTTTATGAACCATCCAGTAAAAGAGGCACAAACTTGACCGGTGATCAACATTTGGTAAGGTATATGAACACACAAAATTAGAAGTTCCTAGTTATCACGGTTCTTGAGTTACAGGAATGTCGCTACTTTTGCGGGATTTGTTTTTGAAAAAATAATCCCGTACTTAAAGGGTTAATAAGAATATTGTATTAATCGATCATCACTTTTTGAAATGGTACTCTGAAACTTAGAAAAAAACGTTTATGTACTGTACTATGAAATGAAAGAGGAAAGAAGAAAAATGAACAAATTGATCTTTGTTTTGGCTATTTTTGATAAAGCTCACATTTAAATTTTGTTGAGTTATGCTAGACTTTATTTCGCTGAACGGAAAACAGCCAACGCGTCTACGACATAGTTTCGCCGAACTCGCTTAAAAGGTTAAGATAAATCATTAATCCAGGTGCATAGTTTTATTTAATTTGTACTCTATATGCCCCAACTTTTATTAGTGACCTATCATATCACCGCAACAAAAAAACTAAAGTTGATTTTGAGTTGCTGAAAAGTGTTTTGAATTGAAAATTTTGAAACAAAATGGTACAGAAAAATTTCCATGGGAAAGTATTATTAGTTTCAAAAGTTTTCCTAAACTTTTGGAAGTACCCCTCGTCAAAAATAGAAAATTTTCGGGTTATCGAGTGTACTGAACACGAAAAAACACTTTTCAGCAACTCAAAATCAACTTTATTTTTTTTCCAGTAATATATTTACCGTCTAATTTCAGACAGCGCTCATATCCTATTTTCTGCGGTTGATAAATCTGCTCACATAAATTTTAAATGAAAAGCATTATTTTTGCGTAACCGCTTTCTCTCAAAATGCCGTTTGGGATTTTTGCACCCACTCTGGGAACGTAACGAAACATGAATTCTCGGTAGTATTAAAGGCATATATGAGTACTTATGTCAAGCTTTTTTAGTTTTTTAATACTCATACCGCTAAAACTTGCAGACATATTTTGAACCAGAAATTTTTAAGTGTTAACGAGTTATCTATAAAGACCGGGATTGTTTGTACTTCAAGGTACAGAACCGGGGATTGTTTTATTTGCAGGAAAACTTTTTCTTCTTCGGATGAGAAAAAAAGGATTTTTTTGTTTTCCCTTACAAACAGACGACGTTTTCTATAGAACTAGAGCCTAATTAAAAAATTCCTTCTCCTCATCCGAAGGAGTACGAGTGCCCCAATAAATAAAAGAAAACTACAGCTCTTTGTAATGAACTATATTTTAAAAAAGCCGTATCATTTGATCATTAGCACAAAAATCAGTTTTGAGAAAAACTACTATCTGAAAAATTAACAAGGCCGCCGGTTGCTTTTTGAATAACTTTTGATAGAAAAGAGCTGGAGAGCTCTAATTTTCACCACATACTACTATAAAATGTACTGAACTACTCAATCTTGCACAGGTTAAGAGGTTCATTCATATTTTAGTGAAAAAATCAACAATTTTCGAAAAATTAGTTCATGCATATAAACAAATACTTACCTGTATGCCGAATAACAATTCTGGGTTGCGCGCCTCATGTCTAGTATCTTGGACTATCACTTGAAAAGCATTAGGTGAAACAAAAAAGATTCAGTTTCTGTTTTTATTTCAACTGGTCTACAGCGACATCTGCTCCAGCGAACCGTGGTTCATTTTATGTAGGTATCTTATCGTTCTTTTCAGTGATCATTTTTCTGAGTATTGGATTTATATACAAAAATCAAAATAGAAATATTGGACATAAAAGATTCTCACTTTAAGATTTTAACTGGTCCATTTTTGAATCAGTTATAACGATTATTAATAGTACATACATATATGTACATTACTCGACGATTCTGTTCTTTCATTCCATCAACTCATAATGTCTGTATTTCGACTTGCTACGTTAAATGTACATTCTTTTATTGATTCGCAAGCTACATCCAACATTGAGCGTTTAGCACAATTACTCAAACCATTGGCACTCGATGTTTTAGCGGTACAAGAGGCTTGCCATACTCCAGATAATCGCCGTAACCGTGCACAGACTGCCTTTGTAGAAACGCGTTATCATTCTCAAGTATTATCCGAATTACTTCAACTATCATATAAAGTATTCGGTGATAACGTTCGAAATTTTGGTAACGGCATTTTATCACGGTATCCAATTACGAACGCTTCCAATTATCAAATAGAGCCACAGGCTAGCGAAGCTGTTAGAGGTATGCTAACCGTTGAAGTGGACAATGAATTTTGCAAAGATAATAAGGCTACAATTCATGTGACACATTTTTTAGATCATATTAGTGAGCACAGGCGATTGTCACAATTACATCTCTTTGACAAACACGTTTTAACAACCGCTCAAAATAGTAGGCACTTGCAACTATTATTAGGCGATTTTAACTCACTGACGTTTGAGGATTATTCTCAAAATTATTTTGACCAAAAAATTCGTCAAGTTCGCGACCAAAACCTATGGGAACCGCCCTATGATCTAGTGATCAAGAAGATTAAAGAAAGTGGTTTTCAAGATTGTTTTAAACACATGAATAAAGAGATGAAAAATGAACAGTTAGCGACGTGTGCATATTCAACAAGAATCGATTATATCTGGATGAGAGGAGAATTAAAGAACGGATGGCAATTACAAGAATGTAAAATATTTTCAACAGAAAATGCAACTGATCACAACGGTATATTACTAGTTGATTCCTAATTCCTGTTGAAAATATTTTACATTCTTGTAATTGCCACCCGTTCTTTAATTCTCTTCTCAGCCAGATATAATCGATTCTTGTTGAATGTGCACACGTCGCTAATATTTCATTTTTCATCTCTTTATCTTCTGTATTCATTTCAAAATCTTTTCCAACAGTTCCAATTCCTGGCAGTTAAAACTACACAAAATGCTTATAACCGCTCTCGTCGGACTCAAAAGGGTTATATTCTGATCTATTTTAGCGTATAAATATTCAAGAGAAAGCCGATGAAGTTTATAAAACATTCATCACTAAAGAGAAAGTTTATAGATACAGACAAATACGTTTGTTTAAATGTGTAAGAAAGATATCTGAATTATTTTCATCAAAAAGCGCTTGTTCATGAATTGTGACTTTGCAAAGCTGAAAATATTTATTTCGACTAGGAAAAATCCCTTTTGAAAAACCCTGCTCAAGAAGCAGATATGCTCAGGAAACAGATATGTATCGATATGTTAACTTTAAAGGTGCGGCACATACAGAAGAAGATGTGCGCAAAGTTCCAGTAAAATTGGAACTATAGAAACCCATTGCACTGTAGTCCTGTTTTTAGGATAAATCCTTTAACTAGGGCAACAATTTTTTCCTGAATATTAACCCAAAACCAAAATTCTCTTCCTATCACAAAGGCAGAAAATCGAGCTTGATTTTCAGATATGCGTTTTGTCTTTTAACATTTGATTTTGATGTCAAAAACACAGAAGCTTTCTGATACTGACAGATTTTGATAATATTTTTTTGAACTGAGCTTTTCTTTCATTAGAAAGTGTTTAAATTTTTCTTTGGGATAAATAGCTCGTAAAGTAGACTTTTTTATCAGTTTGAAAAATAAACATTTTTATTTATACGCTAAATCTGTTCCTGAATGCCCACTATCCAGAGCCAATCCATGCGAAGAGAAATGTATTTATCCATATAACCTGAAAGTTTTATTAAACCCCCTCCCAGAATAGAAGGCCATGTGGTTTCACACATCGCACTTTTTTTGGTGAAAAACTGCCTATAGGGCGTTTTTCAAAAATTTTCGCTTCAGACTGGCCTTCTATTCTGGGAGGACGGGGTCAGTAAAGAGACAGAGAGCTAAATAAATCATTGATGTTTAATTAACATTCGTTTGAAGTTAGTCAAAACATCTATATTTCTCCGGGCATTATCAATTTGAATACATGTGTTGGATATAATTGATGATGTTCTAACGTGTTAGCCTGCTCGCATCTATCACAATAAGTGACATCGATCGGACAATAAATGCATTTGAAAAGTATTCCATCCATATCTCTGTCACAATTACCGCATATGTAGGTAATGCCATTGTTTTGAAAATTTTGTCGCTGTTGTTTCGGTACATCGCGAATAAATTGTTCAAATGCCGGTTGTTCATTAACTGAAGCTTTGTATTCTGGAGCTTGTGACCAGTTAAACTTGGTACCACAACCGCTTTGAACATTGGCACCGTTGTCAGCATCTCGACCACATACCATAGAATCACAACCTTATAAAAACGGAATAAAATAAAAAATGATCCTATACCGATATACAACTTATATTTCAACAGAAAACTGCAGTCCAAAAAAAAAACAGTATTGAGAAAAATCGAGCTCTATTAACCTCTAGCCACATGTGTCAGATTCAATTTAAGACCTTCCCGAGGCTTAAAGATTTTGCTTTCGATACAGAGTTGACTGAAATGTATTTTTTGGATTTATTAATTCCCTCTGATATTAGCGTGAAGATATAGAAAGAACAATAAATTCTGAGCTTTTCTATGAAGTGGAATTAGTTCACAAAATATGATGTGAAAATATCAGTACCTTCTAACTTTTCGATGACGCGATAACATTTTGGACAATATCGACATTTTCCTTGTTTCCACAGTTCATCGCGTGTTAGTTGAGCATGACGTTGTTTCAATTCTTCATTTTGTCTTCGATTCTGATCCACAGCACGGTTATAGTCGTCTAATTGTTGCTGAAATGCAACATCTTCTTCAGCGCGTTGACGCACATAATTACCACGTTCTGAAATTGATTATGCAGGATAAAGTAGTTGGTGATTATGGCATGGTAATTTTAATAAGCGCTAGCGTTACCTTGATTGCACCATAGATACCATCGCTGTTTTATCCTTGGTATTTCGTCACATTTTGTCGTATAATGATATGCATCATTACATATTGAACAAAATTCTGTCAGACACACCTCACAAATAACTTTAAATCTCTCGTTGGGATCAGCAGTTATTGCAAACCACTTACATGCACGATCTGGACATTTTATCACAGTACGGGTACTCTCTACATAAATATCGAGCGTTTTTGAGGTTTGATAATCTTTGTACTTATTTATCTCACTGGGCGGAAGACGTAGTTGATTTAAGTCACTATCAGTTAGCCGATAATTACATAAAGCGCATGTCAATACGACATTGTCTCTGTACTTGACGTCAGTCATACGAGTATAGCATTGATAGCATATTTTATGCGATTCATCGCAACCGAACACGTAGGTATCAGAATAAGTGTAAGATTCTGTACATATTTCACATTTACGTGTTGGAAGCTGATGAACTCTTGCCGTCTGACCTTGTTTTTTCATTGAGTTAGCTTTAAAATGCAAAAAATGTCTAAACTTTTGTTTTATGTCACTAAGCTGATACAAACATTTGTTTGATGTCTACCTGTATTCGCATCGGCTTTGCTCGCTAAGGAACGTGCATGGTGACTAATGGCAGTTCTTGCATTGTTATCGGTTCTAGACTTCATTATCGGTACATTGACTGACTCTCTTCTGCGTGATGTGAGCTCAACAGTTTGCATGGCTTTTTGTCTTTCCTGAGATTTGGATTGACGTATCTTCGAATGATCTAGAAAAGACAGCAAAAAGCGAATCAGATACGGCATGATTCGATATTTGCTTTATTGATGTACTGTGTGAAGATGTTTGACATCGTTTATCCATTGATTGATATGCTTCGAATCTCCCATGAAGAGCATTTATATAAAAATCTATCTCTTCCCTACTAGGACGCTTTCGAGTATGTTTGTGAGACGGTCCAGCGTGTAACCGTCGTTCAGGACAAGAAGACCTGTGTCTATTATGTTTAACTAGTGCTTCAAAATCACATGAATCATCTTAAAATGGAAGAATAACATACAATATATTGAATACAAAAGGATGAATCCCCTTTGATAAGGATTTTGCCCATTTTTATTTGCATACATTCTGTACTCAGAATCGATTGATTCTAGTATTTTACGATGCACTGAATAATTTGGTGGAGTCAGAATGGTTCCAGACCCCATAGAAAAATTTTTAGACTCGTAGTACTTTTTAGGTATGTACGGACATATATCATGTGTAAAGAACAAGACCTACTGAGTTACAGAAGAAGAGTGAAGCCGAAAATAATACAGATTCTGAACGCTGGTTTCCTCTTCTATAAAATAAAGCATAACACAAAGTTCAAATATTACATAGACAGAGAGCAAAGAGAAACGAGCTCGCCGATGTCAGGATCATGTGATACATTGAGATACAAAGTATTTATTATCTCAGGAACGAAAAGAGACAACAACATCCTATTTTTACAGTGAATAGAAGATATGAAGCTCTAGAAAACTGACATATCCACTCGCTTCAAATTCACGTTCTTTTAGCACAATAGTCACAAAAATGACATGTGTATAGCAAAAAAACGCCGGTAGAACACTCCTTTAGCCATTTTTCTGTCATAATGAAAAATTATATATTTTTCAAAAAGACTGTTCGATAGCCCTAGAAATTCTCTACAAACTGAACTAGTCAGAATATCTTTAATGGTGAGGCCAGTCATTAAAGATATGCAAAAGAGGGCGTTTGGATGTTATATATGCAGCACAGTGTGTCATAATCATAAGAACTCCTTTATTTTTGATTTTTCAGTAAAAGCTGATGAAATCAATCTATTTTTACAGTGAATAGAGAGATGAAGCTCTACAAAATGAGTGTGTTGACTTGATCTGAATCCACATTCTTTCTGCGTAATCGAGACATCAAGTCACTATGTAGACGAAATGACGAGTTTGTTTCTCGTTATGAATGTTCATGTGACTTACAACGCAAACTTTAAGAAGCTGCTTGGCTTGGCAGTGAGTCCATTGCTGAATTTGAGCTATACGAGTGGAACATTTATAGCAAACATGTCAAAAAACTCCTCTAATTGAACTTGCCTATCGGCCTCTACCAACAATAGTGAAATGACAAAAGAATGAGAATCGATCTTTTCAATTTCTTCATCCTATCAGTCATCCTTCTGCTTTTACAGAAGAGCGATTGCTTTTTTTAGTTCGTCTTACATATATGAAGAAATGTGGCTACATGTCATGGCCACGTGTCTTTTTCAACTAGTGACTTTTTCTTGTTTTTTTACTTCCGACATCTCTGTCTAAGCAACAGAACTAAGGAGGGAAGGCCCCAACTGTCCAGAAGCTTCTGACGCAAACCTTAGTGGACAATAGGTAATCGAGTGTCCTGATTTCGAATTTTACATTGGTTTGGGCCCAATTTTACTTTAAAGACCCGGTTTTCGAAATACTGGATTTTTGGGCCGAAAAACCATTTGCAATAAAAAAAATTTTTGACGGTCGCGAATATGAAAGAACATTTCGCGAAACCCATGTAAAACTGTTTTCTCGGTTTTTAGTGCTTTGTTGTTTAAATCGAGGGGGCGGGCGTGGGGGTTGTTTTGGTGGGGGGGAAGGGGGAAGGTCCGGGGGGTTATGGGGTTGGGGGGAGTGGG